CCATGGAAGTCTACGAGATATGACAAGCCCAGATTATTACAGTTTCTGATAAGGAAAAAATCTCAAGTCTTTATGAGTATGATTTGGAAACTGTTATTCTTTTCTGTAAACATGTACTGTTCAGAGACAAGATGGTAGGTGTCTTGTTTTGAAAGTCCTATGTTTCCGCCACTATGAACTACTTGGTCGGTGTATTGCATCCGTAAACACATGTAAGCTACAGATTGTTTGAACAACACTTTGCTCTCCAAATACATAACTGCTATTGTGCCCTTTCTTTTTCACACGAACAATTTCAACCTGCCTTGTTAATTAATGATACTGTATTTTCCAAATCACATGACCCCTTCACATGATCCCCACCCCTGAATAACACCACACAAGTATGCACATACCCTTCGATCCTCACCTTGACATTGAAGAAACAAATTTAGTGTGCGTTTCAGAATTTAAATATCGGATTATTGGATTTTCTTTACACTTGAATATAGGACTAGAACTTTCAAAATGTCCAAAGCATGCCAGATCAATTACACATACAGGTGGATGCAGTGAAATGGTCCGACTGAATTTAAGTCTCAGATGGGGTCATCTATATATTACTGATATTAACAGTGTTACCGCCACACATAAATGGTTCAGTTTGCGGTCTGACGGAGTTAAACCCCTTTCTGTCGTGTTATGTACCTCTCTGTCTGTTTTTTTTGGGTAACATTAAGGAAACTCGGTTTTCTGTTATTTTTTGAAATTTTTAATCCTTGAGCAACAAATCCGTTTGATGTATGATCAGTATCTTTAGAATTTAGGCAATATCTAACATTTTATATCAAGATTCCAAATAAACCTTTTGATGTTCACTTTCCAGAAATTACAAAAAAATACAAAAGTGACTTTGAACTCTTGGACTACTGGACAAAATGTGGACTATACAGTCAATATAGCATATGAACGCCAGAAAACAACCAATCTCCACTATCCGTCCTTAGCCTTGATCCAAGGCTCTATAGTGCATGTAATTCTACCTTTATAATATGCAAATATAGATAAGCGTTCACTACATCTAAGGATTCCAGTCTTTAATAGTTACAGCATGTTCTGTTTATTAATATTATTCTTCAAGACTATTACAATGCGAAAGCTAATTACCATTGTACAAGAGACTTGTGCAAGTGTAATCTCTCGTATAAGGCGAAAAAAAAAGACAAGGTGATATATGTCGCCCGGGTATAAAATCAACGCCTGAGAACAACCAGTCTCCTTTATCCATCGTTAATCTTGCTCCAAGGCAGTGTACTGGTCCAATTCTACCTTTTACTAGTCAAGTCTAGACAAATGGTCAACGCATCCATGGAAGCCAGTCCTTTAATAGTGACAGCGCGTTCTGATTAGCGATTATATTCTTAAGGATTATTGCCAAAAGCTATTTGTTATTGTCTTGGAGACTTGTGCAAGTCTAATGCTTCCTAAAATGCGAAACAAAGACAAGGCGATGAAAGTTGCCCGGGTAAGTCCTGTCCCTGCTGAAGCAGTTAAAAAGGTAATATGGTATTCAATAAATGCTTAAACATTTCTCGTTATGTTCTGCTAATGGTGAAGTCCCCACATCATGTTGAGATGGTATAATTGCCGCAATACCAAAGCCTGCAACTTATGAACTTAGGTATCATTTTGGTATAAATTGGGGCTTCCTTACGCATTTATGCACGGTAAAAGTATTCCAGTATTTAATTTCTTTTGAATTACATTATTTCGCCAAGTATCACACACATTAAAGAAGGCATAAAAGCTTTCCGTATTCATATACATAAGTAAAACAATGTATCACAAACAACAATGTACGAGGACATGACAACTGATAGTAAAGGTATCAAAATACATTGTGAAACACGGCATTGTAGATAGAAAGATAGATGGATAGATACATAGATGGATGGATGGACGGCTGGGTAGATAGGTAGGTGGATGGGTGGATTGATGGTTGGTTGGATAGATAGATAGATAGATAGATAGACATACAGATAGACACACAGATAGATAGACAGATAGATAGATAGATGAAAGGAGCGGTCATACGAGTGCAATCGGAAAACCTCTCTAGTAAACGGAGGAACCAGTTACTGACTCCCATATTCAGCCAAATGTCACCAAAGCTTACCTCCAACCTGTATACAGAAATTTGATAGTTACAATTGTAACCCAGCAGTTTTTCACCATTGTATTATCCATTGGAACAAATGTGTAACTGCTTGTCGTTGCTGAGAAGAGTTATAGCCGTGGTTACATGGTGGCACCCACTGCTCAGAATACTGTGTTGGGACGAAGTAATATCACGGTCTTCTGAAATAAAACCCATCCTCCACAAACCAGTGGTTGATAAAGTGATGGAAGGGAGTTGTCCACTTGATAAGGTTCTATCTTCAGTAAGACTATTCTTTATATTCGACACCCTGTTGGCAGAAAGTGGCCTTGTCTTTACATCGAAGAGGAACAAACTCGGTAATTAAATCTAGCTTCGACACATCAGTGGCTGATAAAGTGAGTGAGTGAGTGAGTAAGCTGTCCACTTGATAAGGGTTCTATCTTCAGAGAGATTTATGTTCTATCCACGATGCCCTGTCAGGTATCACATGTATTCATACATTACAGGAAACGCAAGGCACAGACAGCAGTGAGCCGGTTAGGCGTTAAAACAACAGAATGGACGAAATATCGACAAAATGGCCGAAAATGTCTCTCTACAGGTCGTTTGGAGAGTGCGCGCCCCTTGTCACAGAGCATCCAAACCTGATGTGGCACAAAAAACAGTTGTATCATTGATTACAGCAAACGATAATCCCTTTCAATCTTCACTTTAAAGTTAAGCAAACAATTTCGTTGTGTATAAAATCTAAATATCTTACATTTACTTATTCTTAGCACTTAAGTATAGGAGCAGAACTCTCTAAATGTCCTAATACAAGCAAGATTACACATATAAGTAAATGCAGTGAAATGCAACGTCTGAATATAATTCTCAGATAGGGTCATCTATTTATTGCTTATCATTTTGATTTGTCAGAATAACGAAAGGCATTAGCGCCACACATCGATGCTCTGTGTGAAGCCAAGCAGAGTTATCGCCCTTCCATTGTGCTTGTGCATACACCTCACTTTCTTCTTTTGAGAACTTGGTGAAAATTCGGTTTCTGTCGCCTAGTAAATAGATTTGATAAATATAATTATAACCCATTAGGTTTACCACTGCAAAAAACATTAGAACAAATCTGTAAAATAATGTACGCATTGAAAAGACGAAGTTGTAGAGTGGCACTATCAGGTCTCTGTGTCAGGAAGAAAGTGACCTTGCATCTACATAAAAAGTGACAATATCATGTCATGGTGAGTTACACTGGAAATGAGTTTGTGAGGTAGAGGACATGGGAACAATTATGTAATGCTGAGTTTAACAAAACACTACAATATTCTGCTTCTTTCTTAAATACTAAATTCTGTGCAGTTTGTAGAAATACCCCAGTTGGGATCCTTCCAGTAAAGTTACAGCTCAATGGCCTTTGTTGTAATCTCAGTAGAAAAGGCAGTAGCCCCAGAAACACTTGGTTTTGGAAAGTAAAAAATCTTAAACATGTCATCTGGCAAAAATCATATGACAATCTGCGACTTAGTCACCAGTCTGAGCCCAAGCTCAGTAGAAATGGGCACAAGATGACATTGACAATATGTCAGCCATGTTCAAAGAGGGGTCACATAATCCCGTGATCATGATACAATCAAAGGAGCTGCCAAAGGTTTGGGTTTTTTTGATTGACAAAAACAAATGCTAAAAGCGGTTCCCTTATTCGAACGCTGTATTATAAACTACTATAGTAATGTGGTCAAATAAACTGAAACACATTTCAAAACTGAATGATTAGCAGCATGTTGGTCCTACAGTGAGGCTTGCACCAAGTTCGGTTCTTCAGTTCTGACTAACCAGCATACAGGGAAAGCAAGTAACATGTATAAAACAGGTTCCCACAGGCTCATTCTATCAACTTTTGTTGTCAGTGTATTCATTTGGCAGCAGGGTTACATGGAAGTGCAGACAATTGGTAGACACTGCACATATCGAATCATAAGAGTATGGTCACCTTATTTGCAGTGAAGATTTAATGTAGGTTTGGCTACGTGAAACTAGCAATGATTTTCAACATCCATGCTAAATGTAAGTTGACAACTCACTGAACATATTTAAATGAGAATTCATTACCAATTCATTACAACACCACAAGTCGATGTGGTGTATGAATACAAAAGCAACAAATGCTTCCACGTCTTGTACATAATGCTTCTCATTTTGGATGGTACAGTACAAAGGTCTGTTGGAATTTTAGACATTTTTAAATCTATTTCTTTAATGGAAATACCTGAGAAATCTGAACATCATGTAACAATGTGCCCTTTGTTATTCATCATACTTGCAAAATATATTTATCAACTGTATTTGTGATGAAAGATGTCAATAAGTCATTTCCTTTTGAGAAGTCAGGTGTACAATTAATGCAGGCCTTGGGATTCAGTCTCGTCATAGATCATTCCAGAGTGGGGACCTGGACCAGGTGACTTAATCCTGGAGACAGGTCAGGCCCACATCACATGAAGTGACCAGGGCCTAGATTTTCGAAGCTCTCTTAGCGCTAGGATAGTCGTAAGTGCCATACATTAACATTAACTTACGACTATCGTAGCGCTAAATCAAGACCCAGGACCTCAGATGAAGCCACACCAGAAAGAATTTATTGAGATTGATTTGAACCTGCTACACATGGTCATATCCTGTCCAAAAAGACAGACGCCCGACTCTTTTCCCTGTCAAAACTATTGAGTAAATGACAAACATTTCAACTCAATTAGTTACAGTGTTGTTGGGATCATTGTGCTGCCTTCTTTTAGATTATTAAAAAAAACAGGACTAAACCGAACAAACTGCTCATTAAGGCTGATAAATATTCACTCAGCCCTACCTGTCAGTGATCTTCCCACACCTCTCTCCCCAGACAAGGAGACTGTCACCATCCTCTACCTCCAGACACAGGGAGACTGTCACCATCCTCTACCTCCAGACACAGGGACACTGTCATCATCCTCTACCTCCAGACACAGGGACACTGTCACCGTCCTCTCCCCAGACACAGGGAGACTGTCACCATCTTCTACCTCCAGACACAGGGAGACTGTCACCACCATCCTCTACCTCCAGACACAGGGAGACTGTCACCATCCTCTACCTCCAGACACAGGGAGACTGTCATCATCCTCTACCTCCAGACACAGGGACACTGTCACCGTCCTCTCCCCAGACACAGGGAGACTGTCACCATCCTCTACCTCCAGACACAAGGAGACTGTAACCATCCTCTACCTCCAGACACAAGGAGACTGTAACCATCCTCTACCTCCAGACACAGGGAGACTGTCACCATCCTCTACCTCCAGACACAGGGAGACTGTCACCATCCTCTCCCCAGACACAGGGACACTGTCACCACCATCCACCTCCAGACACAAGGAGACTGTCACCATCCTCTACCTCCAGACACAGGGAGACTGTCACCATCCTCTCCCCAGACACAGGGACACTGTCACCATCCTCTACCTCAAGACACAGGGAGACTGTCACCATCCTCTACCTCCAGACACAGGGACACTGTCACCATCCTCTACCTCCAGACACAGGGACACTGTCACCATCCTCTACCTCCAGACACAGGGACACTGTCACCATCCTCTACCTCCAGACATAGGGACACTGTCACCATCCTCTAACTCCAGACACAGGGACACTGTCACCATCCTCTACCCCCAGACACAGGGAGACTGTCACCATCCTCTACCTCCAGACACAGGGAGATTGTCACCATCCTCTCCCCAGACACAGGGAGGCTGTCACCATACTTCCCCGCTGACTGTGACAACCATATACACCCTCCATGTTGTGAATGTTCTGGAGTTACTGTTGCCTGTAACATAAGAATAAATTCCAATGTAGCCAACTTTCCCAAGAATTATTAATGAGATTCTTAGAATACCTTAATTGAAATGTGCTGCTGTTGTTTATTTCTCAAATGCAAAGACAAGTAATGTTTTTTTACTGAGAAGATCAAATGAAAAACAAACATTTCTTTTCAATGTATGTGTTTGTGTGAGAGTGGCCGGGAGCGCCTGTTGTTTACCGCTCCGCTCCGTGAAACCACGGCTCCTGGCCAGACGATTCACTACAATGACTGGCGAGCAGCTCAAACACTGTGCCACTTGTCTGTCACAAGCAGTCGTTCCTCTCATCTGACCATCTGGTCACAAAACTGTCAATGTTATTATTTTCACTCCATGCTATGAGGGCAAACAAACACGTTTCATTGAGACATTTTAGCATTTGATATTATACCTTGTTCGCTGCCGACTGTGAGTCGCAAGATATTGATTTCCCGCCGAATACAGTAGTGTGCCAAAGGTCAAAACTATTAATAGTAGGCATAATCACTCATTTTTTATTAATAGGAATTTTTTAACCAAATTTGATGTGTTGCTAGAGTAAAGTTTCAACAACAAAACACTTTGATTTTCATACCAACAAATTGTATTAAAAAGTTATTAGATTTACAAGACACCCACCCTCAGAAAAGAAAAATGAATTTCTTTTTTCAGCCATTTTTTGGGGTTCGGAACATTCTTAAAATATTTCTGCACTGAAGAAAAATATGTTTAAGTATTCTATCTCTGTATTGGTATCTTGTCTATCCATTTTAGTGATAATGGACATAAATTTACCACATACAATATGAAAATCTGACCCCGTAAGTGTAGCCCCGTATAAATCGTTTTTAAACTTTTCACTAAGTTTTCATGAATAATGTCTAAACATGAGTAAAACATCATCACAATAAGCATACATAGTCATTGTTATGTGATAACACGTCTTTTTATCCCCCAAAAAGTGACAATCAAGTTAAAAAAGCATATGTTACAATGTTTATAAAAATATGCTTGACCTTGAACTTTGAAGGTCAAGAGATACAAATGTATTTTGAAGAATATCTAGAGTTCTACCCGTACAATTAACATGAAAGTTATGTGGGGCTAGAGCAAAGGATAAGCTATCAAAATACTTCGTTTTTAACACAGAAAAAAATAATAAAAAAGTTATTAGCATTAAAACACACCTACTCCCTAAAAAAATTACTGTATTTCTTTCCAGCTATATATTGGCATTAATGACTAGAAAATGACAATACATGCATACAAGGCAAGTTTCATGTTAACTAAAGTCTCTGGAGTCAAAATAAGTCAAAATCAAGTAAAATAGGGACCTCTTGCTCCTTTCTACAAACAGCGTATGTACCACAATGAAATGAATAAATAAGGTTCTAGAAACTCCTACATAATACATAAAATATATATCACAGGGCTGAAAACTAAACCTGGCCCAAGGAGCATGTAGAATCTTAGCTAAGCCTTTTTATATCAAATCCAATATCTCATGCATGATGGATTGATAACATTATATAACATATCTGATATTTGTATTAGAGGCCATTGTCTAGGTGTCTTTGAATATGATCATAAATACTTAAGCAAATAGCTTCCAACAAATACAGTTTCAGTTGCAAGTTATGTCATGATCCTGGGTCATATGAATCCATTTTGGCAAAGATCAATGCAGATCAATGCACAACATATGAGGAAGAAACATTTTCAACTCTATCACAAACTGTCAATATATGGCAGGTATAACTGCTTAAAATAAATCACATAAACAGCATACAGGTCAAGTTGCATGATAATAATAAAATCTGAAGAAACAATAGCGACCAATCTGTCACTTTGCAAAACATAAGTAGTCAGGCTTCTTCTCTTCAGTTGGTCAGCCCTGGTCCTGAAAATTAAGGAAAATATAAATTAATATATTTTCTTAACAGTATGGCACTAATTAGATCGTGACAATTTAATGGCCCCAAGCTTAAACAGTAAATGATTGATTATTTATTATTGTTATTTCATCAACAATGGCAATTTTTATATGACTTAAAGAAATGTGAAGGGATTTTGTAAATGGAATGCAACTGAAAACAGAGATAATACAAAAAATGTTGCCATGGTCAACTGCCAAATGTTGCTAACTTGTATATACTAACAGTAACACACAATCACATTTAATGTCATTCACTGTCAGTAGTATTTCATTTTTGATAACCATGTCAATTTCACGAAAAAATAGGTCAACGCACTGTGCACGTTATTTAGGCCAAGTATATATTAAAATTGGATTGATCGGCGGTAATAAATGGTGTATATTTGTTCATTAGTTCAGGATACATCATATTGCAAGCATGAAATATGTTGTCACTCACCTATTTCGTAGAAAGACGGTATTTCCACGCTTGCTGACAAACACGATCTCAGCTGGCAGGCTCTGTCTGTCACTTGATCGCTAGGAAAAGTACTTCCGGTATAGACGGTGGGGTCCTTTTCATTTTTATCTCCACATGAACACGTTGTTAGAAAAACACAGTTCATAGTGCAGATTGAAGCTTGATAATTCGTCTACCTATGAGATTTTTTATAGACATGTGCGCTTTGAATAAATATGTTTTTTACACGTCGGAAGTTTTCACCTTCACAAAGTCAACATTTGACGTCACATTTGTCAAACTATGAAAAAAAGTGTCTCTAACTTTGTTATCCATCTTTCCATTGGTGCATTTGTATTCTTTGTGCAATCAGAGGCAACGTTACAAATGCGCGTAAAAGCACCCCCCCCTGTTTTGACACATTTTTCTGACCTGACGTTTGCTCCCAAGTGCTATTCCTTAACCTCGAATGAATATTCTCACAGACTAATCAAATATTTTGTGAGTTTTTAACCTAATGTGAAAATTTTACATCGATCACCTCACCTACCGGCTAGATCTACTGAATATCTGACGAAACCTTTGCCTCCCCTCCAACCACGAGTTAAGCAGGGTCCACACACCGCCATAGAGGAAGCGCTTGGAACCAAAGGCTCAAGCCTCGTTCAGGCATCGTTACCCAGGGGCGGATCCAGAGCGGAGGTGCGCATCCCCCCAACCCCACCGCTTCTGAGCGGCTTGTTCCCCGACAAAAAATTCCCAGAGGAGCATTTCCCCCTAACCTTTGGACTTCCCCTTCCCCAGAATCCTGGATCCGTCCTTGGTTACCTGTCATCACACAATGCTTACTTTATGTTTGTTTTTTTTAGAAAGTTGACACGTTTTAAAGTTTAATTTTCACATTATTTTTTTTTTACGAAAAAGTCAATAAACGGGAAACTATCTGCGCGAACACCACCACGCTCCTGAGGCTTCCTATCGTGTCAGCTGTGCGGGAAACATTCCAACTCATGTAAACATGATTTAGTTCCGAGTGGTAAATGTTCCGGTTCGGAATAAATGCCGTGAAATTGAGAATGGATGACACGAATAAAAATTCCGCACTTACGGCAAATATTCGATGGAACAGGAACAAATACCGTAGGTCTAACCTATTCCTGTCATTATTGAATGCAAAATGAACTCATCCAACTTGTCAACATCCGGGATGTCTTCTAACTGTAACTTGGTTACATGCTGACTGTAACCTGGCTACTGACTAACTGTAACTTGGTTACATGTCGACTGTAACCTGGTTACTGACTGTAACTTGGTTACATGTCGACTGTAACCTGGCTACTGACTGTAACTTGGTTACATGTCGACTGTAACCTGGCTACTGACTGTAACTTGGTTACATGTCGACTGTAACCTGGCTACTGACTGTAACTTGGTTACATGTCGACTGTAACCTGGCTACTGACTGTAACATGGTTACATGTCGACTGTAATCTGGCTACTAACTGTAACTTGGTTACATGTTGACTGCACATGTAATCTGGCTACTGACTAACCGTAACTAGGTTACATGTTCACTAACCTGGCTACCGACTAACTGTAACTTGGTTACATGTTGACTGTAATCCTGCTACTGACTGACTGTTAATTGTTACATGTTGACTGTAACCTGGCTACTGACTGACTGTTAATTGGTTACATGTTGACTCTAACCTGGCTACTGACTAACTTGGTAAAATGTTGACTGTAACCT